GGACATTCTGTATAAGGAAGTATAATTTTTATTATTGCAACACAATATCTGATCAATAAATAATCTTCAGTAAATATGTAGTATTAAAAACTCTGATACCCTTGGAGAAATGAAGCCTTAAATTTTTTACTGCAATTTCACAAAATTGAAAATATTTCAAAAACGGTAAAGTTTAAGTGTGATAAACCTATAGAATAAAATACAGGGTATTCCATTTAAAAAAATACAACTATAATATGTTTTACTTATTTGGGACACTCTGTATCTTTTAAAATTATTTTTAAATTGTAGCTCTAATGGTCCTACAACGAACCCAAACCCAATTTGTAAAAATCTAATCGTTTAGCTACAATACTCCATGTCGTATGTGGTGAACAACCCTGTATTACATTATATTCCAAAGGATGTTTTAAACTTTCACCAAAATATCAACATTTTATTTTTAATTTAGAAAAATATACTAAAAAGTCAAACAATTTAGCTGCATATCGCTCAAAAAATGATCAAATTCGGCCCACTAGAACAAAATAATAAGCTTTAAAACACATCAAAATTTTAAGGTGCTTTTTTTTCGTACCGGTGAGTGTATTTAGAGATCTTTTGTATTAAGGTATGGACGCTAATTGTTCAATCATATGGTATTATAAGATCATACGAAAAAAATGAAGAATTCTTTCTAAATTAGATCCTAAAATATCAGTAACAGAACAGTTTGCGGAAAAAAACCTGCTGTGCACAAGCATTGCTTTAGTTAGTATTTTACAGGACACAAAGTATATTGAAATGTCTTACCAAAAATTTGAAATCGGTAGGCGATCGTACTATGATTTGTGTAAGTATAGTTTCGATATTTCTCGTGCAATACTCAAAGATAAAAACTGACAGTACAATAAACGTTACTATAAAGAACATCTGCAAAAAATGAAAAACCTTGATATACTTTCAGCATTGATATAATAATTAAATGTTACACAAATAAAATTATTGTTTTGGGTATTATTTAGAAACTTCACGGGTAATTCCATAGAATGAATATGCCCTTTCTGGGTTCACAAAATAGAGCGCCAAACTCATAAAATATTTATTTTTTAGTTCATATTTAAAGCCTATGTTTTAATTTACTTTTATATTTCTTTTCTTTACTTATGTTGTTAACTTATGTTACGTTTGTTTATATTCGATAGTCTTATAGCTTTATTCTACAGGGTGGTCCGAATTGTATTCGGAAAACTTCGGCAGCATATTCTACATATAAAAATAAGGAAAAACCACGTATTAATGTAAGTCCTAAAATGCTTCGTATCAGACATACAGGGTGTAGAAGATTCATTTTTATTTCGATTTTTTCTAAATAATTTCTAAACTATTGTCGATATTTGGATAAAAAATGGTGTCTGGGTATTTTTTGATAAATTTGATTTCGATTTTGATAAATTTGTTTTGAATAGTTAACAACTTTTCATCGGTACTAGTATAAAACTACAATAAATAAAAATATACATGTTTGTTATTTTTTACGTAAAAAAATGTCCCTTGGTAAAATTCGCTAAAAGCAACCGCTCTCAAAATATTTAGAATGGACATGTTTAATGAAATTATTATAAATTTAATATTTTGAAATTTTACTGAAATTATAAATTTGGCCACTTTTTAATTATTTTTTAATTAATCATAAATTTTTCTTCGAAAAAATGGTGAGAAAACAATTTTAGTTGAATCTTTGGCACAAAAACATTTAATTTTTTTTTATTTCAGTCTAAATCAAAAAAAATTAATTTCTCCAAAAAATCCTATATGGGTATTTCGCCACTGCAAGAAAATCTACAAAATAAAATAGTTATTTTTTGTAAACACTTCTGCGTTAAACCCAAACGGAAACTACTTGTCAGAAGTTAGGTTTACAGTTATATAAATTTGCCTAACAAAGAAAAACATGCTTAACGTTAGAAGAGATAAACGACGGAAAGAGATAAACTTTCCGTCGACGGAAGCAAAATAAATACAAAGAATAAAGAAAAAAACTATTTAAAATATTTAAATTCAACAATTTGAGAACACTTTAGTTTTTTTTTAATACGTCTACAATAGTTGAATAGTTGAATTTAAATATTTTAAATAGTTTTTTTCTTTATTCTTTGCATTTATTTTTGCTTCCGACGACGGAAAGAGATAAACTTTCCAAAACGTTAAGCATTTTTTTTCTTTGTTAGGCAAATTTGTATAACTGTAAACCTAACTTCTGACAAGTAGTTTCCGTTTGGGTTTAGCGCAGAAGTGCTTACAAAAAATAACTATTTTATTTTGTAGATTTTCTTGCAGTGGCAAAATACCCATATAGGATTTTTTGGAGAGATGAATCCGCCACATAGGTATAGACATTTTTTAAAAATTAATTTATGTCAATGATGACATGTCATCACCCTAGAATATAAGATTGTTCTATAGACCATTTCGATGAAACTGAGAAAACAAGGTTTAAAGTTTAAACTGGATATCCGTGAACGCTATATACCAAAATGGTTCTATTAAACATATAAATTAAAGGTAATATAAAAACCTATCAAACATATGTATTTTTTTTTACTTTTAGAAGCTTTATTTAAAATATATTAGTGATTTTAGTTTTGGATATAGAACAAATGCGTCTATTAGCTGTGCATTGAGCCGATTTTAGGAATATAGAACAAAATAAGGGGATATAGAATAATATAATACTCATTTTAAGCTGATTTATTTGTATTTCAAAATATTATTTCAACAGAAAATAACTGAAGTGGATACATTAAGACATGAACTAAAAACAACATAAAAAAATAAAAACCTAAAATACAATAGTAGTAATTATTCGTCTGCATTGTTTATTAAAAACTATCATTTTTTCCGCCTATTTGTTTGGTATGTGTAGTGTTAGAATAACTTAATCAGATTTTAAATCTGATTTTTAACTTTCATTGGATTATTTAAATGTTTTTTTAGCTATCTCTAGTATTGATAGTACAGTATGATAGAATAAAAACACATTTACCATATAATTTTACATATAAAATGACAGCGATCTTCATTTGATAGTCATCGCTGACGCCGTTTTTATTCGATCATACGATATTAGAGAACGATTGAGCAGTCAATTGAGTTGAAGCGGCTGGTTTTACGAAATTCCAAAGTGTGAAACATTCGAATTTGCTAACAAATCAGGCATTCAATGCTTTTCAAACGAACTATTGAGCAGTCTATTGAGTTGAAGCAGCTGGTTTCACGAAATTCCAAAGTGTGAAACATTCGAATTTGCTAACAAATCAGGCAATCGGTGCTTGTCAAACGAACCAATTTGTCGCCTATTTGACAAACAAAAGTGGTGCCATTTCACCCGCTTAAAACAAAAACCTTAAATTTAAATAAAAACAGATACATACATTGTACCTTAGAGAGAAAGAGATCGAGAATAAATGGATATAGAACAATCTAATTTTGATGCGTAGTAACATATTTTTTGATCTAGTATTTTCGTTCCATATCCACTTCTTAGGACAAAGAACACAATAATTCTTTTTTTATTACAAACTGTAGGATGTAGCCTCAAATACTGATTTTTGGATGTAGGCCATTATATGGTTTCGCAACTTTCAAATTAATATGGATATAGTACAAAATATTAGATTTTTTTTCTTTATTTGTGAATTTGGCTATATTGTTTTTGTGGATATAGAACAAGCTAATTCTGCATAAAAAAATGGTGTATGTAACTCATTTTACCCCAAAAGTGGATATAGAACAACCTAATTCTGTGGTGACGATGTATTGATTATTTCGATTCGAAATATCTCGAAAACCATTACTCGTTAGCGATTTTTATCAAAACACATTTTCTAATGATGAAAACGTATATATTTTCTCTCAGTAGTGTCATACAGGTACGGACAAAAAGTTATTACTCTTCAAACTATTTAAAAATATGTAGGTAGCGCCATCTACAAGTAAAAGACATATTGACATCAAAATCAAATTTCTCATATCAAAAAACTCCCAATTCGCCCCTTTCATCTAAATATCGACGTTAGTTCAGAAAGTATGTGAAAAAAAAAACGAAATAAAAATGAAACTTCTACACCCTGTATCTCCGAAACCAAGTATTTTAAGGACATTCATTTATAAGAATTTTTTTATTTGTTTTTATCTGCAGAATATGCTGCCAAAGTGTCCCCAATATAATTCGAACCACCTCAACAACCAATGTTTCAGAACTAGTCGTCTTTTTGATCTTTGAATTCACTGCAAAATAAAATACTAAATTATCACAATTCACAAAAGCACTTTTACTTTTATCCTGGACGCGCGTTTCGCTAGCCATGTAAGCAACATCAGCAGATAATCAAGACGAAAAGTTAGTGTAAAAGTAAAAGTATTTTGGTGTATTGTGGTGATTTAGTGTTTTATTTTGCTGTGCAACACTAAAGGTTCCAACCCCCAACTGTAATCTTCGATGGCTTCACGGTCAATGGAACTAAATCTTTATCGTCAGTTTAATACTAAGATTAGGTTATTAGGAGCAGATATTTGGTTTCTTAAATCATGCAAAGCCATTTCAGTTTATCCTAGTTTTATTAAAGTTAATATCCCGAAAAGTAACGTTAGTGATAAGGTAGAAAAGAGTCTTGATCATCTGCTGATGATGCTAACATGGTTAGAGAAACGGCGTCCAGTGTAAAAGTAAAAGTGTTTTGGTGTATTTTGGTGATTTAGTGTTTTATTTTGCTGTGTAACACCAAAAGTTCCAACCCCCAACTGTAATTTTGGAATTCACTATTGCACTTAAATTAAAACCAGTTATCGAATATTTTTTGTGTTTTTGGTCACCTTTTGTGTCTCTTTCTTATTTTTGAGTCAATTCATTAAGAAAATACTCAAAATATTGTATTTGTTAAATAAAAATAAAATACAGTACCTATACAGTATTTTGTACAAAAATTTAGAAAAAAAATGACAAGAACGGCAATACTTACGATAGTTTCCTTGATTAGAAGCATCGACATGGTGGAAAAAAATTTCACCGAAAAAACGCACAACCTTGCACTTGGACGCTGAGACCGACTCTGGTGGAGATTTTGAAGACACTTTCCCTTCTATACCGGCTTTTTCGTCTTCCACATGCAGAATCTTCGATCATCTTCATCTCGCCTCTTCTGCAACATCGCATTTCTCTCTCGGTCTTTCTCTTTCTTCGACGAAATTCAGTCAGACGCCATATGTTATTGGTGCTTTTAAATCGATTAATTTGATTATAATAACTGCTCTTGCGTAATTTATTTATTAATATACTTTCTGTAATATTTATGTAAAAGTGTATCTGTACTTTAACAGATTTCTTAAGACATAATTTGATGTGTTTTTGTATTAGTTTTTTGTTATAGTTTTCAAAATTGTTAATAGAGTTCCAAATGTGCGCGTTCCAAAAGAAAATATTGTTAGGTGCAGGGTTTTCAGATATATTTAGTGCGATACTGCAGGTACCGCATTAACGGGGGGGGGCATGTACCGTACTAAAATTGGGACACCCTATATATTTTTAATTTATTGAAAAGAATTTAAAATTACCTTTCCAAAAATATACACACTTGATATTTTGCTCGATTCCTCTTCGAGATATATAAAAATTCGCCCGCTTTAAATAAGAAGGCTTTGAACGGCACCGGCTGTAATGCAAAAAAATTCTAGATGTGAGCATCAATTAAAACGAAAATAATATTTGCTATGAGAGATGCAGAATTTTATAACAATTTAAAATATATTTAACCAACATCAACACATTTAAACTATATCTAATAACAACAAAAATAAATAGCAAACCAAGACATGAGATTTTGCTATAGGTGTTAAACATATCGACCGTCTTCTGTTATGACAGACGGGGCAGTTTTTGAACATTTCTCGCGGAATTCATTAACTCAGTAGGGGCGAATCTTTCCCTCTCATGACTGCTAAGTATTTCTAATTCTTGTCTAGATTATACTTAATCAATCCATGGGCACTAAGTCAGGCGGCCTCGACGGCCAACGGCTGGGATCTTGGTTAGCTATTCAATTATTCTTGAAATTGGCTGCAAAAATTTGCTGATAACTTCAGCGTTCAGAGGCGGTGCGTCGTCTTGCTGGAAAAATATGTTTTCGAGTTCCATTAAGGGGATATCGTCAATAAGGGGACCAAAGCCTACTAGTTAAAAGTGGCGAACTTAAAAAATTCTGTATTTCGAAGGGGATTATAACAAAATATCAAGTGTGCTATATTTTTGGAAAGATAATTTTAAATTATTTTCAGCTAATTAAAAATATAGAGGGTGTCCCAAATAAAAAATCAAATTTTCTGTTGTTAATTCTTAAATTATTAATTTAAAAAAAAATATACTTAAACCATTAAATTCTACGTAAAAAGATGCTTTGGAAATGTTCTCATAAAAATACAAAATTTTCCATAGCAAAAAAGTTACAGCGATTTGTTAAAAATGCATATTTTTGAAAAACTAAGTAACTCCGAAACGGCAACAGATATCGATATCGATATGCGGTTTTCACCATAATGTATTTGACAAAAATTGAGCTCCAGACACCGATATTAGTTTTTGTCTATATCCTATAGAAAAGGGTGTTTCCATTTAAAAGCGTCGAATTTGACCCACCCTGTACATAGATGTAGATTGTAGACTGAGTGGGAGGGGGGTTAATCACCACGATCTTACAGATCTATTGTGCCCCCTTTTTTGAGTTATAACTCAACATACAGTCCCAGGGCCTTGACAAAAGCCAGTATCTGGGACGGTTTTACAGAAGGTAATTCTCCATCTTTAATATCAGTCGTACCAGGGGCGCTGACTGCGTAGGTGCTCGGGTGCTCTAGCACCCACGAGCATAAGCCTAAAAACTTATCAGTTTAGCAACTTTAAGTGCCACTTATCTCGTTCACTGCAAGGCAAGACTTCGCTTAAAAACTCTAGAATGTCCTTTGTTATATGCATGATGCGCATCATACTGTGGTAGTTTTTCGAAGAAATCATTTTCAATAATTCTAACAGTTTCATCATCCATTCTTAGGTAGTTAAACCATTCCTGTTTTTCAACTTCCTTTACTTAAAGAAAAAAGTTATTCCCATTCCAAGTAGCATTTTCACGACTTTTTACATGTTTACTAAACACAACGTTGGATTAGTTACAAAAAATAGTTAGCTCCGTACCTTGGGTATTAAAATAAATGTAAACGTTGTTGTAACGTTGTGCCGACGTTGAACTAGTACTACAACAAAGTAAAAGCTTCTGCGACGTCGAATAAACGTTGTCTTGTAACCTTTTTTGCTTAAGTGATCTTTAGGTGATTCGGACAACGTAGTTACAATGTTGGGCAATAAAGAGTTTTCCGACGTCACTTTCAGGACCTATTCCAACGTTATGCAAACGTCGTCTGTTTTACTAATTCCAACGTTGTTTAGATTTCCTTATTCTTACGTTGGTAGGACGTAGAGCCATTACCGTTTTGCGACTGTATTGAACCATAACCTTAAATCTTAAATTTTCACTTCATTGTTCTGTTCAGTCAGACAGTTTAGTCCTGTTTTTGTTTTTATAAAAAAAAACTTAATTAAAACGAGACGTAAGTATTACCGATACTTTATCCACTCCCTATCGTTTATTTAGAATATAGAGGGCGGCACAAGCTAGACTCTAGGATGACTAAATTAGGCAATCTTGCGACTAGTATACTACCTATTAAGGCTGAACTGCGACTTTATTAGTCCAGTATGCGACTACTCGAACTACTCCATCTTAATCTCCAAAACAACAAAGTGAAAGCCGCCATGTTGTTGAATAAGAAAATGTTTCGGTCCTAAAATAACAATTCCTGCTTTTTGAATACATTAACTTGAAATATTTGACCCTAAACACGCGGAAACATTTTTTTTTCGACTGCGAATAAATTATTCTCATTTTACTAAAAAAAAAATTCAAGAAATTTTTTAAAACTTCTTTAATTTTAAGGCCCATTAGAATTTTTCAAAGTAGAAACAATACATTTATCAATAAAGTTGTTTGCATTTAACTTTTTTGCCTTGGGTAACGAGTTACAGAGTTGGTTAAGAGTTTGAATAATTATGATCTTCAAACTTCAAACATCCTCCACACTTAAATACTTTTGTTTTGTTTTCCTTTACTGCCATCTGGCATATATCTCTAACTAAATCATAAAAATTATATTTTTACTATAAATATCCCAATTTAGGATAAAACGCGACTTAGACGCCATATTATTATAGTTTTGTATTTCTCTGAATTAGGATTTTAAACAACGTTGTTAGGCTACTAGCCAACGTAGGTATCCAACGTCGTTTCGACCCAAAAATTATTCTCCAAACTGATGCAGACTAGGGTTGGCACGAGGTTGTGCCGACGTTGCGCCCCGACGTTCGGTCGCGTGACACAACGTCGTCCCGACGTCCAAATGCTGCTTGGGATATGTCCCATGTCAATTTGCTTACTGATTTAAAAGTTGAAAAACAGGATTGACTACTTAGCCAATCTTTGGTCCATTTCCTTCTATTAACTAACTGTTGTTTTTCTGCTTTTACTTTTCAAGCGAGCAATACGCAAGACAGAACTGTCTCTCGGGAGACCATTTTTACTAAATTGGGTGTGTATGCGACAGGCTGTAATGCAGGTTAAACTGCGCAACTGCGAGTTAATTGCGCAAACCGACCTGCACGGTGTGTCTGTGTTAAATAAGTGAGCGCCTGTGGGGGCTCCCCTCCTTCAATGTGGAAAAAAGATCAATCTCAAAACAATGTGGAAATTTGTTACATTTACCTATATCTGATGAGCACCCACGAGATTTTATAAAATTCGGCGCCACTGAGTCGTACCAAAGTTTATTGCGCGAATGGTTGTCGTTTCGACGCCCTCAGTGATCAGACTGATGAGGTGTTCTGGTTTCCCCATTTTCTTCCATAGAATCTGCATTCGCCGTTTTTTCTTAGCTTCAATCTAGTGAGGTGTTAATTAAGGAAACAGTGTCCTGTTAAAAACCCCGTGACAATCCGAAGATTGTTCTTACTTAAATCAAGGAAAATCTTTGATTTTTTTTTGGTCGTAAATCCTCAGAAACTTCTTCGAGTGTCTTAGACCTTTGCAGGCTTCCCATTCCAGGTTACGGATGGAGTCCCAAGGTTCTTGAGTTCCGCTTTGAGTTGGTTTCCACTTGGGAAGCAGAACGTCAGTAGAGTATTCGCTCCTTTTCTAGCTAGATCATTTGCTTTATTATTCATTACCTTCTATCCCTTGGTGAGATGGCACCCAGAGTAGGAGGAGTTTGTTTTCTTTGTCTAATTTCTTCAGCTTCTCCATGCATTCTTTAACTAACTTCAAATTGATTGACACTGAGTTGATTGGTTTTTACGCTCCTTGACTATCAGTTAAAATGGCTATTTCTTGTTTCCAATAGTTGCTTTCCAAAATAAGTTGTACGTATCTTTCGATAGCGTAGATTTCTGCTAGGGTAGGTGCCCATTGGTTCGGGGCAGCGGTGGATGGGCCATATGGGAAAACGGAAAAATTCCCGGTGGGCCGGTGGGAAGATGGGCCGGTAGCCGGTAACAAAAATTAAATCTCTAATCTTCTAACTAAAGTTACGTTAGATTCTTAGTGACTGTCTAACTAACTAATCAATTTGCATCAATATAATCGTCAGTTGCTTTTAAACATAAACACCAATTTGTAAAATAACTATTGTTAGATGTCTTTCTTTGAGACACTTATAGTTTTAATAAATATCTGTTGTTTGTTGTTCCGTTTGAATTGTTATTATACAAGGTGAGTCTATAAGCTATAAGTACACCTTATTTTTGTGCTGCTTTGTGCAAATATTTTCAGGGCTGGTAGATCTCAATAAAAGAAACATAATATATTTTCTTTACTCGTGTTTCAAATAAGTCCAAAATAACCGAGTTATTAAAGTTTGGAAATTTAAAAAAAAATGATTTATTTTTAAAAAAAATTGAGAGCTATCGAAATTTTTCTGTATCTGCATCTCTTTTAGTCCCGTAATAT